CGTTCTGGGGGCGGGGCGCGCGTTTGAAGGGCCCGCTTCGGCCTCGTCGGGTCGGATCCAGCACCTGTAGCAGCATCCCGATTGGGTGTCCCACCTCGGCAGGTGGAAGATGTCCCTGAACATCTTCCAGTCACCTCTGATCTGGATCAACCCGCACTTCACTGGCAACGGGTGCCCAGCCGCAGCTGCGCGATCACGGTCACCGTTTTTCCGCTGCCACATGCTGTCGTCGTGGCGCAGGGACGGGTGTCTCCCGAGCGCTAGCCACTTAAACGACCACGCAAGAACCTTGCAAATATCGTCGATCGTGCGAGGGCCAATTTGGTGTTTGAGTATTGCGCAAAGGGGAAGACGCAGGCCCTTGCACTTGCCCGCTTGGCCAGGGAGTGAGACAGAAAATATTTCTAACGACGCAGTCCGGTCCCAATTGGTTGGGACCCCATCTTGCCAGAATCCAAGCCCAAGAATCTGTTCGCCGACCTCCTCGTCAATCCCTGCAACCAGCCGCCGCGATACGTCGTCCAGACCGCTTCTGTCCAGGATGATGTCGCGGTCCCCGAAATGAAAGAGGGTGTTGATCAACTCGTGAGGGAGCCAAAATGCACAGTTCGTCCACTTCTCCTCAGTCTGGCCCCTCTGCGTGGCCCTGATAGGAGCCGTGTAGGTGCGTGGCCAGCCACCTTTCTTTCTGAACAAGTTTCTCATGAAACGGGCCGCGTTGGGCAACATCCCCGCTTTGCTTGCTGAGGCGCCTGTTTTATGCACAAATTGCATACCAGAGGCGCCAGACGCCTCCGCGTCGCGACATACTTCCAGACCCCGCTCTCCAGACAGAGTATCTGAAGCCACCAGATCTCCCAAGTTCGCCCTCAACCTCTGCGCTGGCGGCAGGGAGGCCGCATCGCACGGCCTCGCTCGCTTGGGGAGCAGGCCCATGAGGGCGTCAAGCACCAAGAAAAGGCTCGTGCCAATGTGGGCACGGAGGGTGAGGAGGAGAAGGAATAGAGAGAGTCGCGCGAGGGGGAGGAGTAAAGGGAATCACACAAGGGGCCCCTCGGCCAGGGGCCCCTGAGACAAGGAAGAGGGCGTTTCCGCAAGCGCACGGCGAACGGCCAGGGACGCCGAATCTTTCAAAGTGTCGCTCTTGTCACAAGAGCGGGCGAAGGCCCCCGCGCCCGGGAGGCGTCGTCGCCCCTCATCAGCCGACGAAAAATAGAATATTATATGTTGCTTGCTTTCCTCATCAGAAAGGAGAAATCTGATTCCGACGAAGACGACGACGACGACGACGACGACGACGACGACGACGACGGATGTGCATCTCGAACATTGTATGTTCGAGGCGCACCAACAAACCTTGAAACCGTGCATGCCTGAGGCGATCCACACCTGCTCCGTTCCGCTCCGCTTCTTCTCCCTTCCTTGTTTTGGGTCACCACAGCAGAAGAAACCAAAAACAAATATTTTATTTTATTGTTTTCGGTTGTCGGTTACAACAGGAGGAAACAACATAAAATATTTTATTTTGTTGTTTTGTATTGTAAAACACAACGCAAAATCACAAAATAAATATTTTATTTTGTCTGCTGGCGTTGTGCAAGGCAAAACAACCAAACAAAATAAAATATTTTATTTTTCGTCGGCGTCCGCTGCTCCCCCCTTGCGTCGGCGCCCTGGCCGAGCCGCCGACCTGGCGCCGCCTCCGCTGGCGCCTCACCTCGGGGGTGCAGGAAGGGCAAAATCGAACTTGAAAAAAACTGCCACGACGGTCACGACGACGACGACGACGACGACGATCACGACGACGACGACGACGACGACGACGACGACGATCACGACGACGACGACGACGACGACGACGACGACGACGACGACGACGACGACGACGACGACGACGACCGACGACGACGACGACGACGACGACGACGACGGGACACGGCGGAACTGGCGGCGGGGCGACCGAGTGGGCACTCGGGGCCAGAGCCTCCGACGTCCCAGCCCCGCACGACGACGACGACGACGACGACGACGACGACAACGAAGACGACGACGACGACGACGACGACGACGACGACGACGACGACGACGACGACGACGGCGGCGATGACGACGACGACGACGGCGACGACGACGACGGCGACGACGACGACCGCATGACAAATTTTAGGTTAAATTTGTCGCGTTGGCGTCTTGCCCCTGGACCCGTCGGGGCCATTCTGTGTGGAGAAACACATGAAAATAATGTGTTTCTCCACGCAGAGAATTCGGGGGGAGTTTTCGGCCACTTTATTTTCACGAGAATTGTGGGTTCGAGCGCAAAAAAAACTTTTTTTTTTGTCTTCGACCCCACTTCTGTGGCTGGCCCCCGAGGCGGGGTGCCGGGGGCTCGCCTCGAATTGGCCTCTCCGGAGGGGTTGGGCCCCCCGCAGGTGTGTAGGTGCAGTCTCCATCCCAGTCCCGCTGACCTGCTCATGGGGCTCTGCTGGAGTGCCATGGCGCCGTCTGCGGAAACTGCCCGTGCATCTGCGACAGCATCATGTGCGCAAACTGCTGCATCAGAGGTTGCGGTGGAAGCTGCATCGGAGGCTGCAGCATCGGAGGCTGCTGCGTCGGAGGCTGCTGCGTCGGAGGCTGCTGCATCGGAGGCTGCGGTGCAAGCTGCTGCTGCTGCATCGGAGGCTGTTGCTGCATGGCAGGCTGCTGATGCATCGGAGGCTGTTGCTGCATCTGCGGAGGCTGCCAGATCTGTGGAGGCTGTTGCTGCATCTGCGGAGGCTGCCAGATCTGTGGAGGCTGTTGCTGCATCTGCGGAGGCTGCCAGATCTGTGGAGGCTGTTGCTGCATCTGCGGAGGCTGCCAGATCTGTGGAGGCTGTTGCATGATCGGCGGCTGTTGCATCGGAGGCTGCTGCTGCATCGGAGGCTGTTGCTGCATCGGGGCTGCTGCTGCATCGGAGGCTGCTGCTGCATCGGAGGCTGTTGCTGCATCGGGGGCTGTTGCTGCATCGGGGGCGGCTGCATCGCAGGCTGCTGATGCATCGGAGGCTGTTGCTGCATTTGCGCAGGCTCCCAGACCTGCATCGTCGGAGGCTGCCAGCTCTGTGGAGGCTGTTGCATGATCGGCGGCTGTTGCTGCATCGCAGGCTGCTGCATGTGCTGCTGCATCGGAGGCTGCTGCTGCAGCATCGGAGGCTGTTGCTGCATCGGAACATGCTGCGTCGGAGGCTGTTGCTGCATCGGGGGCTGCTGCTGCATCGCAGGCTGCTGCTGCATCGGCGCCTGCGAGCCGCTGCTGCTGCTGCTGCTTCCGCCGCCAGCGGCCGCAGCAGCCTCCACCTGGGGAGAGAGGGCCAAACAGGAGAGGGAGGATTAGGAGCGCCTCGATCAGGCGCTCCTCGATCAGGAACCCCTCGATCAGGGGCCCCATCGATCGGAACCCCCTCGATCAGGGGCCCCCCGCCCCGCTCGCGCCGCCGTGAACAGAGTCTGCACCACCTCCTCCCACCACTGCTGGCGCCCCTGGTCCTCCTTCAGCTGGCGCTCCTGGTCCCTCTTCAGCTGGGCCGCAGCGTTCTCGGCGGCGGAGGTCGCGCCCCAGCCGCGCGGCATCGGCAGGCGCGGGCGCCGGCGCGCTGCTGGTGCCTCTGGTTGCGCCGGCGCTGCTGGTGCCACTTGTTGCGCTGGTGCTGATGGTGCGTCTGACTGCGCAGGTGCCGCTGGTGCCTCGTGTTTCGCTGGTTGTGCTGCTGGTGCGTCTTGTTGCGCTGGTGCAGCTGGTGCCTCTTGCTGCGCTGGGTGCGGAGGCCGCGGCTGCGTCGGCGGAGGCGGCGGAGGCGGATAGGCACCCTCTCCATATATCGCGCGCTGGCGCGCGAACTTGTCCTGCTGGAACTGGCGCCGCTTCGACTGGTCGCCAGTCCGCCTCCGCTTCACGATGACCTGCGGCTGCCCCTGCTGGGGCGGCTGCTGCTGCTGCTGCTGCTGCTGCGCCTCTGCTGATGGCGCCGCACGCGCGAGCGCAGGCAGCCAATGCCGAAGCAATTCCCGCCGCCCATGTAGCCATGCTCGCCGCAGATCCTGCACGGCCTGAAGCGCATGCCCATGCCGGCGGCGCGCTCCATGAGCAGGGCAACCAGCCGCCGCAGGCTGCCGTCATCGTCAGGATCGGCCCAATCCAGCAGCTCCTCCACGCCTGCTTCTGGGGGCGGCCTCTCGCCTCCGTCGCCTCCGTCGCCTTCGCCGCCAGCCCCTGCAGCAGGACACTGCGGCTGGCCGCCGCCTGCCACGTCGAGCCCAGGCTGCCCGGCCGCCTTTCGTGTTTTTTTGTGGGGGGGGGGGGGAACGGACTTTCGTTTTCCTGTGTGTTTGAGGCCCCGAGCTTTTTTGCAAAACCATGGGGTCTCAAAGCCAACGAAGATATATGATTCTAATCACTATAATATTCCTCATTTTAAGAGGCGGAGCCGGCGTGGCGGGCGAAAAAAACAACTCCCCCTTCCCCCCCCGCCTCCCTCCTATCCTCCCCGCCCGCCGTGGACGCGAGGGCGGCGAGCACCAGCGCCGGCGCGCGTGGCGGCGCCATGGCGCCGCGCGAGCCTTCCGCGCGAGGGCCGCGCGGGGGGTGGGGCCAGGGGCGCGCTCGCGGGGGCTGAAAGCCACCGCGCGCGGCGACCCCGCCCCGTCGGGAAGCGCGACGTGGGGCCCCTCGATCAGGGGCCCCAGATCGGGCGAGAGGAGCTGGCGGAGGAGGAGGATGGATGAGATGAGGAGGGGCCCCTCGATCAGGGGCCCCAGGGGATGGATGAGAGGAGGAGGGGCCCCTCGGTCAGGGGCCCCGGCGTCGGGGAAGATGAGGGGGGATAACGGCGGAGGGCGAAGATGACGGGGAGGCATTTTTGGTGCATTGCAATTCCGCGCGCACGAATGCTTCGCGGCCCCTACTTCAAACGAGCCCCTCGACGAGAGGAGCCCCGTTGGCTCAAACATATCCTACACGACGCGCTACGGCGCCCACGCAAGGTGGGACCTCGCATACTCCCACGCGTCCTCGAACAGGAGCGTGCCGTCGTTCAGCTGCTGCCTTACGTCTTCCCCGACCTCTTTCATCTCCTCCTTTGAACTCGTGCAATTCTTGCCGCCGATGGAGAATATTTGCGACCCGCCGCCAGCCAGGCGCAGGGCGACGCTGTGCGAATTCTTGTAGTACATCGATGGGCCGATCTCCTGCGCATGGAAATCGAACGTGGCCGCTGCTGGCCTCTTCCTGGCCGCTGCTGGCCTCCTCATGGCCGCCGCCGCGGCCCCCTTTGGAGCGCCGCGCTCGTCTGCGGTCGCGGTGGCGACGGCGGCTTCCTCCTCGGCGCTGGTCATGCTCGGCTTTTTCTTCACGGCGCCCTTCTCGACGATGGCGGGCTGCTCCGCGGCCGCTGGCTTCTTGGAGATTTTTCCTGCGGGCTTCCCCCTCTTAGGCAACCCTTCCTCCCAGGCGGCGTACGTGACATTCGTCACCTCGGTCTCGATCGGCCCGGCGGCGCCGCGCGCCACGCAGAACCCTTTCGGCCCTGGCGCGAGCGGCAAAGCCGTCTCGGTGCCGTCGTCACTCAGGAACTTCAATTCCATGATCGCGTAGTCGATGGTAATGATCTCCTGGGGCCTGGCGGCCTCGCTGCCCGCGAGCTCCTGCTGCGACGACTCCTGCTCGGCAGCTCCTGCGGCGGCCTCGCCGTCGCGCGGCGCGTCCTGGGGGGCGAGCGGACGAGAGAACAAGAGGAGAGGTGTGGGAGCACGAGAGGGGCGAGTCCTGGGACGCCACGATCAACTCGGGCGACTGCAAGTCCATCACCGCCGAGGATTTCTTCGGCGTGGCCATCCCGTATAACCCTGCGACGCTCCTGCGTTTCTTCGCGGGCGACCGCGGCCCCGCGGCGGCCGTGCTCGGCCCTGGCGCCGCGGCGGCCGGGCTCGGCCCTTGCGCTGCGGCGGTCGGGCTCGAGCCCTGGTCGCGCATGGCCGCGATCACCGCAGCCGTGGCTGGCGAAACCTTCTTCACGTCCTAGCTGCGGTGCGCCGCGCAGTAGCTCAGCCCGCTCTTCATCGCAATGGCCCAACTGGTCAGTTCGGTTGCGGACTTCTCTGGGGCGTGCTTCTTGGCTTGCTTGGCCAAGTCGGGGTGCCCCAGGCGAGTCGTGACCGCGGCGCACTCGACGAGGAAATCCCTGTACTCTGCAATCGTCTGCTCGATCTCGGCGCTGCCCTTGAAACGAACAATGTCCAAGCTGTACTTCTTGCACAGGGCAGAAAGGAAATCCTGGTCTGCCTCGCACTTGCGCCTCGACATGTCGGGGCGCGGAGGCTCTCGCGGAAAGGCGGGGGGCGGGGGCGCGACGCGACTTGAGCGGGGCGGCTGCGTGGGCGAGCCCCGAGTTCATCGTTAATCAAGGAACAGACGCCCCTTAATTAAGGAACGCGCGACGCTATTTAAGGCGTACGAAAACGCTATTTAGCGAGCCTTATTTAGTTAAATCCTTAATTGCCGTGGACGACGCTAATTAGCGCATCGGGCGCTAATTGGACCTAGGAATTAAATAGAGGAGAAAAGAACTTCATGGCCCCCGGGCCCATCTTGCGCCTCCGGGGCAAGCAGGCAGCGCCGGCGGCGCCTGCCCCGCCACCCCCGCCGCCGCCGCCAGCACCGACAGGCGACGGTCTCCGCGCAGCTGCACGCCCATGTACCAAAAATTCGCACGTCGACTTTCAGATGCTCAGCTTACGAGGGCCACGTCGGACTTGCCTGCTCCTTCCCTGCCCGAGGGGTGCGCTGCTACCAGCTGCCCTTTCTGCAACAAGCGCTTCGACACGGCCGGCCTTCGGATGAAGCACAGCTATGGTTGCGACCACATGCCTTACGACGGCTGGTTATGGCGTGTACGCGTTTGTCAATTTGGAGTCGCTGCACCGGGCTATCCTTGTCCATGTTGCGGGACCGGATTCCTGACTCCCAAAGGCGCTGGCCGTCGCAGCGTCCAGTGTGAAAGGCGCAGGCGGCGAGCAGGGCTCTCGATCCGACTGGGACAATGGTATGATTTGGAAAACGAGCCTGGAGCGCTGCAGCAATGAAGGTGGGATGGCTACTTCCATTCTTCTTCGCGGTTCAAGTGTCCTCCTTTTCCTCCTTCGTCATGATGTTCATCATTTTATTGCACACTGCGCGCGGAAGAAGGTGGAGGGACCATTTTGAGCGAATTGTTTTCTGCACACTGTCAGCACGTTCATCGGCATAGACATCATCGTGGGCACAATTATCATCATGTTTACGTGAAACGTGGCATACTGTGTACGCATTACGTGGTACGTGGTCTTTACTTCGATTATTCTTTTTTATACCGTGGACAATCACCATGTACGTGATACGTGGCATACTGGGCACGCATTACGCGGTACGTCAGCGTGGTTAAAAACCGGCGCGCCGACCCATCCGCCATCGACCCCCCCCCCCCCCCCTCGCCCGGAGGCGGGCCGCCGCAGCGTCACTTGCGCGCGCCGCCGGATCGCCGCCGGGCTCTCCACGGACACCAACCTCTGGCACGCCCCACCTTGTGCAGACGCCACCAGCGACCAGCAGCACCAGCGCCAGTTGCACCAACGCGCCATCATCAGCAACACCAGCGCCAGAAGCAACACTACATAGCAGTACGCAGTACTACGCAGCACTACGTTGTACTACGCAGCACTACGCAGCACTGCGCAGCACTACGCAGCACTACGCTTTCGGCATTGAGTGTCCAGAGATATTATCATCATCAACACCAGCGCCAGAAGCAGCGCTACATAGCAGTACGCATACGTGGTACGGCACATAATATATCGATTGGAAGGTGGAGGGACCATTTTGAGCGAATTGTTTTCTGCACACTGTCAGCACGTTCATCGGCATAGACATCATCGCGGGCACAATTATCACCATGTTCAAGGGCCTCATGGTCTCCACGTACATGAGCATCATTTTGTACATTCATTGGCATAGACATCATTATCCACGTAGAAGAGATTCATTTTGCACATGCACATGCACGGGTTTCCCCGCGCGCACATGCTCGCTACGTCATTCGCCGGCTTGGCTCGAGCACTCCTTGCCCGACAGACCGGCTGATCGATCGGAGCACCGTCCGGCATCGTGGACATCAACGCTCTTCTGGCCAAGGCGGAGGAGGGCGCAGCGGCGAGCTCCGCGGCGCCAGCGGGCGGCGGGAGGCAGAAGCGCCCATGCCCGGAGGACCGCCAGACGTCCCAGGCCGGCCTCGCGGATGTGCTGGAGCGCACGCTGCGGTTGGGCCTCCAGACGGCCGAGAAGGCAGAGGCCACGGCCTGCGCGACGAACGCGGTGGTCATTGTCAAGCGGGAGAGGGGCCAGCAGCGCTTGAAGCAGATCGGCCAGACCTGGGTGGACCGCAAGCCGGAGTTCAAGCCGAACGCCCCGATGGCGCCGCGCGACCTCGGGGAGAAGCGGGTCTGGATGTTCGCCAACATGCTCAAGATCTTAGAGGGTGCCCTGCACGAGGAGCCGGAGCCCGTCAGGAACGGCATCGCGATGCTGAAGTCAGCGCCCATTGCGACGCTCAACAGCTGGGTGGCGAGCTTCAAGCCTCGGTACTCGGACTCCTGGCCGTGCGTGGGTCTGGGAGCTCTCTATCTCGAGCCTCGCGGGTGTGCCGTTCAAGGAGAGCTTGGACAACCTATGCACGGTGGATACGGAGGACTTCAAGATCGCCCCCCACCGCTGGGGCCAGACTCAGCTCCACAAGCAATGTTGGGACGATGCGAAGGCGATGGCGGAGCTGCGTGGCCGCTGAGGACGTCTGCTCTGAGCGTGGCCGGCACGGGTCTGCACAGTATGGTATACCTTGTTTTGTCGTACGTGCTGTTTTTCATATTCCAGTTGTCTATCTTCCTCGGCTTGTTCTTCATCATGACCTTCGTGTACTCCCTCGGCGTCGGCGCACTAGCGTGCAGTATGGGTTACTCATTTTTTCATTTTTTTCATCGCGCGACGGCTTAATTCGGACACGGTTGGTTGTGCCGCTCTTCTTGACGAGGCTGGGTTTGTTATCGATGTGGTCCCTGTCGGGATCGTCTTCCTGGTGGCCTTCGGCGTGTTCCTCATGCACTTTCTCTTCCGCATACCTCATCCGCTGCATGGGCACGGGTATGGTGTGCTTGCACAATTATGTATTCGTGGGCACTGCCCTTCTCAGGGGTGCCGGGTTGGAGCACGGCCCGGACTTCTTCGAGGTGGTCTTCCTGGCGGGCCTCTGCGAGTTCATCGTGCAGTTTTTCTTGGGTCTGGAGTGTTGTTGCGTACTCGGATGGAGATGTATTTTGTGGCGTCTCATTGCATGGCCGCCTACTTTCTTCTGATGATGGGGGCAACGCTCGGGATCTTCAACCGCATTTATTTTATCAGTGCTGTTCTGGGCTTCTTCCTCATCGTGTGCATGCTCCTCCTCATCCTCTTGTCGGTCTTCCGTCGTGCTCTCCATCGGGCTTCCTGCGCGGGGCAACCCGTCTGGTGAACAGCGGCCCGGGCGGGAACGGAGGCCCCCGGACACCGTGGGGCCCACGTTGGTCCACGGCTCTTCTTGCAGAAGGTGCTTTCCAGCTCCATGGCGTTGGCTCCCGTGAGCCTGTTCACACGCACCTTGCACGGATGTTCTACCAGGGCGGCCTCTCGGGCAGCGTGCGGGGCGACTGGGCGCTGTGCGCGGACTCCCCGCTGCGCGCCTTTGAGCGCGAGCTGGGCGCGCAGGCGCCAGTGGGCTTCTGGGGCCCCGCAGGCTTCACGAAGGACGGTGACGCCGCGGACCTCAAGAGGCGCCGCGAGGCAGCGAGCAAGGATGGGCGCGTGAGCACGCTCGCCACGAAGGGGTACATCACGCCAGAGGTTGCTGGCAAGTCTCCTGGCGAGATCTCCCCGTCTCTCGAGGTGAAGTTCGAGGACATCCCGAACGGGCTGGCTGCCCTCTCCAAGGTGCCAGGACCCGGATGGCTGCAGATCGCGGCGCACCTCCTCTACTGCGAGTCGGGCCCGTTCGGGTACAACGCGGGCCCTAACAGGAAGCCTGGCGAGCTCGGATGAAGGCCTATCGGTCTCTACAGCACTGACGCCACGGTCAGGCAACGCAGGTTGAATGCCGAGATCGCGAACGGCCGCCTGGCCACGATGGCGATCCTCAGCGCCATCTCCGAAGTCCCTGCGGCAGGCGTGGGGCAAATCGCGGCCTACTGTACGCTGTGCGAGCTGTTCCAGGACCAGTCTGCTGGCACCGAGGTCTCGGCAGGCGACTTCGACTGGAAGATGCTGACGGCCAGCGTCGCCGCGGCCAGGCGGTCGCAGTTGGCGGCCAGGACTGCCTACTTTCCCCTGGCATGTACTGCGGTCATCGGCATGCTCTTCCAGGATTTGGAGGGCGGCCCTCCTCCTCCCTTTACTCCCCCCGCCGCGGGACCAGGAACCCATAATTTCGAGGCGGCTCCAGCCCTGGCGACCAGGGCGACTGACGACCTTCCGGGGGACCCTGCCATGACCGAAATGGGGCCCGCTAAGCCAGAAGGGAGCGCGATTTCAAACATACCGAATCCCAGATGTGAAATGGGGCCCGTTAGGCCAGATGCAAATCGTGGCGTCTCGAGCCCCAGCCCCGCCCCCGACGGCCGCCCTGAGCACGGACCACGTCGACGCCCCG